GTCACAGTGTCTCTGGTCATATCCAATATCTCACCATATCCTTTCAAAAAGTTTCTAATGAAGGATTCTTTTACATCATCGTGCAACCAGTGGATTTTATTTCATGAATCTTTTTTTCATACGAGGTAATAAGGATGTGTATTCCCTTGTAATAGATTCTCCCGGCCTCATTCAAAAGTTTGGCCCTCCTTTGTCCTTAAAGGTAACATAAAATGCTCCCCCTTGATTGGTATTCCAGATGGAAATAACATCCTTTCCAGAAATATTTTGAAACGTAGCAACAATAGCATCAAACAACATTTCTCTCGTGAATGGTCTCACCTTGCACTCCGCCTTGATGGTGCATGCATAACTTGACTCGTCTCTGTACATCCGATGAACGGGTGTCAAAACTGGCGCCGCATCCAAGGCCATAGTGATGAGGGAGCAAGTGGGGGGTTGACCACTAAAGGTTCACTGAGTACTCAGCGCCCGCCGGTAGACCTGGATAAGAGAAGTTTCCGTAAAATGTCAGTATTCACCTAGCTATCCTTCTGTATTCCACTAGCTGATGTAGGAAGACGTCTCTCGGAATTGCAATATAGATGCTGTATATTTGCATCCATGTGTTCCTGTATAGGTTAACACTGTCACTGTACCTTTGGGGCTGCTGCCCAGGAGAATTAACACCCCAGTGTCACCCACAGGGTACGGATAATTTAAATATTAATTATTTTTCTCTGTATATATTGTAAATAATATAAACTCTGTCAAAAAAGAAACGCAACCCCTGTATTTTAGAGATTTTGAGCTGAAGTTTTAGGACGACACGGCATTTTTTATTATATAAGACAGAAGTCTGAAATTTGGCAGAAGAATAACCCAGATGGGCATGTTTAAAATTGTCATTTCAAAAGTCATCTCACAGACACCAGTTTGTCACCAGGGGGGCGTCTTTCTCAGTATCTCGTATGAGCACCACGCGCTGCAATCACTGCACGGCATCTCCTTGGACAAGAACGGATAAGACGCCGGATTCTTTCCTGGGGAATGGCTCTCCACTCCTCCTGCAGTGCAACGGCGAGCTGTTGCAGCGTCTGTGGCGGCGGCTGACGTTGACGTACGCGTCGATCCAGAGTATCCCACAGGTGTTCAATAGGGTTGAGGTCTGGTGATTTAGAGGGTCATGGCAAGACATTGACGTTGGAATGCTGCAGAAAGTTCATTGTTGCACGTGCAGTATGAGGCCGGGCGTTGTCCCGTTGAAAAATCTGTGTCTGTTGGTCAATAATCGGGAGAAGGTGAAGCTCGAACACGTGGTTGATGTAACGTTGGGCTGTCAGGTTCCCTGGAACGATCACCAAGTCTGATTTCTGGTTGTATGAGATGGTTCCCCAAACCATGACGCTTTCTCCGCCAAATCTGTCCACCTGTCGGACGCAGATGGGCGCAAAACGTTTATGACGTCTCCTATACAGACGCTGTCTTCCGTCGTGACGTTGCAAAAGAAAACGTGATTCATCAGAAACCAGATTCGCCTCCAGTTTTGTAAAGTCCGTATCCTTACGTTGTTGCACCACCTGAGTCGTCGGCGTCGATGTAGGGGCGTAGTACAGGTCCAACAACTGGTCTACAGGCACGTAAACCCGCTTCTTTCAGACGGTTCCTAATCGTTTGAGCTGACACTCTCCTCAAACCTGGTATTTGTGTGGCAGTCACGGTTGGTAGGGCATGCCGATTACGCAGGTGATGGACCCGGATGTACCGATCTTGAAGGGGGGTCGTGCTTCTTGGCTTTCCACTTCTCGGGCGATCGTTGGTCAAATTGAAGTTGTTGTAGCGGCTCCAAAGTCGGGATATCGTTGTTTTGTGAACATTTAGGTGCCGTGCAACAGTTCCAAAACTTTCTCCGGCTTGAACACGACCAATGGCGATATTTCGGTCGGCAGCACTCAATCGTGGCATTTTAACACAGCTTTTCGGCGACAAATGAATGAATATAATACGAAAGCACATGGGCTTTTATACACCCCTACATTAACTGCCATTTTCATGATTTGCATGTGTTTTTTTTGTGCGAAGTCACCATGAGGGTCATTTCATGCGTTGTGACGGAATAAGCAATAAAATACACTTATGCGTACAAATGCAGTTGTTTGGATGGTAATCTTCATTAATTACGTGTATCATTTCAATACATTCGAATAAAATTTAGTTTGGAAGCAATAACTTCATTCAAACGAATTTTTCATATCTGAGGACAGGGGTTGCGTTTCTTTTTTGACAGAGTTTATTATGACAGATATGTATCACTGATTGCCAACTGTATCATTGGTACCACAAAGTGGTAATTAATTATTGTATTGAGAACATGTAATGTACTTTATAACAATGATCCATGTTCATTGTATACCTTATGTATAGTACCCATACAAAGAGTTATCGCCCTTGATGAATTCTTTATGTAATCAAGACAATGGTTTTTATGCCTCATTAACAAAGATATTTATATGCGAATGTGAATGTGTACTTGTAAGTTACTCGCATGTGAAAGTTGCATCATGTTTTTATGTTATTGTTTTGTGTATTGCAGGGTGTCGTTACCTCTCTAACTGCAAATAAAACCTCACACCCGTAGCCTGTGTTTGGACGTCATTCATACCCATCACAACCCGGTTTTCTCATCCAGTTGTAATTATCTTAGTATATATTAAACATATTATATTTTAAGTGTAACGCTTTGAACACGCCATATGTTTATTCAACAAACCAGTCTAGTTAAATTCAAATAGGTTCGAATCAAAAAATCGATTTATTGGATTTTACAACTGCACATAGCTCCGTTGCGAACAACTGACATAGATCAATAATTCAGCGTATCCATAGCAGTGTCCTGGTTGCAACAAAGAAGTAACATAAGGTGTGTGTGCGGGTAGGAAATCGGGGACCTTACCACGAAGAAGCCTTTTTTGTCAAACTGGTTTAGGTAAGTATACAACCTGACAGGTATATATTGTTAGTCATTGTAGGTACGTGTTTCATGTTTATTGTTATTAACTTCATTCAATCATTCGACTGAGAACATTTAAATCTTAATCACCTATTAATTAAAGGTAATTCAATCAATTTACCTATTTCTATCACAGGTGTGCAAAACAAGATGAGGAATGATGAACGTGACCAGAGGTGACGAAGGTTGGTATTGGTAACCATGGTATTTTACAGTTAATGTCCTAAACGACAATGTGAATTATATTTGTTAGCATATTCTCCATGCTTAATCGTGTCTGCCATTGCCATTGACTGAGTAGACATTAGTGAAAACATGTCGGCACTTCTTGGTTCTTGGTGCTCGTCAAAGTCGGATAAAAGGAATGAAAGCAACGTGACTGAACTTACAGTAACCAAGTGGTGGGTTCCCAGATAATTCACTTTGGGCCAGGTTATCAGGATTAGGATGATCATATCTAAATAGTTGTAGTCAGTTTCTGAATCATGTTCACCAAGATCCAAGCAGTGAATAAACAAACTTGAGATATGTCACAATACTCAGTAGTATGGTATGTAAGGTACTGTTACATCTGGTCTGTGTGAAAGTTCTCTCGTAACGACAAAGACCCTGGTTCCATTCCCAACATGGTGTCTTCCTCTGTGATATTGTTGAAATACTGCTAAAAGGGGCGTAAGACCAATCTCTCACTCACGTGTGCCTCGTTATCACGAATGAAACCAAGTGACAAATGTTTAAAAGTTTCCATATAAAGCAAGAAATAGAAACTTCTTGCCTTTGAACCCATTGTCAAGACGATCGGACGTTAAATGAAGGTGCAACTGTTTCAGTTGGATTTGTTTGTATTACAGGTGTGTGTTCCAGATGTACTCAAGTACGGAAGATATTCATAGAGAAGGAGAACCGTGAACCAGTCAACAAACTTTTACCAGTTCACACCGAATATAAGATTCTAAGAACCAAAGGAGAAGAAGCAAAGAAAACAGGAAAGAAGAGATTTGCGGATCAAGTCGCCAAAGCAGCGTCAGCATTACGTAACAGTGGTGGAGGAGTGTTGCTAGTCCACGTACAAGGGACGTCCGAGGAAGACCGGTGTCTGGAGTACTTTGACGAGGCCGTCAGAAATGAGTTGACAGGGTTACTTGAAAACGGCGAACTCTATACTGACGTCTATGAACGTAAATGTTTGTGTCAGATTGAAACATTTGAAGATATTACTGACTTTGTTCAGATAACAGTCGGGAAAGTTGAGAGTGTATGTACTGTTGATTTCAACACAAAAGCAACTAATGACAGTGAAAATCTTAGCATCAACTCATCAAACATACAGGTGTTGCTGAGAAAAACAGAAACTCAAGCAGGTAGCGTCCCTACTGCAAAACTACCAGATAACGTCCAGGACCTTCACGAGAACCGACATATACAGCTGAAAAGATTCCAGGCCACGAAAGAAGTCACAAGCATTAAGGGAGATGCTAAACAGTTGACTGACTACATATGGAACTATTTGAAGCTCAAGGACAACATTACATCTATGTCCAAGGTTGTTGGTGGGGGGTCATACTTCTTGGGTGTTAGCGAATCAAATCTAACAACAAAAGAAGGATATACAACTAAGAAACCGGAATACACTGGTTTTAAGCTGGACATATCACAAGAGTCTCTGAGAGAACACATTTACAAGAAGCTGGAAACTGACATCTGTGTCTTGGATCGTGACGGACATTTTACAGAAGGACCAAGGGACTTGGTCGATATTAGATTCCACACCATACGGAATGCTGGCTTAGTTGTATTGGAAGTAGCCATTCGTTATTGTCAGGGAGTTGTGTTCTACGACAAAGAAGGACCCAGAACATATTATGTCACAGATAGCGGTGCGACAAAGACGGAAAATGTTTGTCGAATGAATCGTTCTGAATGGCTTCGAAGATTACAGATCATGCACTCTCATTTTAATACTTAAACTGTTGGGAAGTAGCTGCTCAATCTATGACTAATAATTCACGTAGATCAACATTTGACATTTGAGTATAGTTTGATAAGCAACCATGTCCGACAGTGACGCTGGAACATCAACTGGTTCTACACCTTATGAGTCGGAGGATGACATGATATGCTACATTACGGGATCCACACAATCACCATCCGAGCATCTAGACCTACCAGGTAATTGGCGATATGTGTTAACACTGGTATTTTATGTGAGTTTGTATTGAGGATTTAGTTACTACTCCAAAACCGATAATTATCTTCAGCATCGTAGAGTTCTTGTGAAGAATTTTATGAGTATCACCATTGTTCAAGTCATAAAAAACCTAACGATAGACACACGATTATAAGCAATTTTAATCTGTTTTTTTTTCGGCAAGAATAGTTTGAAACTTGAAGTTTAGTTTAGAAAGTTAACACTGTTTATATTGATCTGGATCGACTGTTTGCCCGAACCAGAAAAATATTCCACAAAATCAACTAAATAACCTGTAAAAGAATGGCTAGTCTTACAGTACTAACAAACAGATTTCACTTGGTGGAAAGAGCAAACTAACCGTGAAAAATATATATATTGTAACAAAAAGTCATGTCTAATCTTGGTCTGGGGCGGTTGGGTAACCTAGTGGTTAAAGCGTTGGCTCGTCACGCCGAAGACCCGGGTTCGAATCCCCACATGGGTACAATTTGTGAAGCCCATTTCTGGTGTCCCCCGCCGTGATGTTGCTGGAATATTGCTTCAAGCGGCGTAAAACCAAATTAAGTCATTCAGTCAGTCAGCCTAATCTAGGTCTTCAAGTACTGAGATAATCACGCCCCCAACCACCAAAGTAATACCAGCCAAGATACATACCTTTGTGCAGTCTGCTTCCAAACTACAGTTTCAACTATAACAGTAAATTCCAGCACAAGTAAGCTCAATCATGTTTACAGTCGCTATCTTGGATATTCTGACGTCACGTTTGCGTATCATGTGACCTTAGGTCACCTATAAATAGACCGGTCAAGGTTAGTTTCGGAGCGGCAATTTTGACTTTTACAAGTAAGGTAGGGTTCCAGGGTTGCGTCACAGCTAAATTCTACTTTTGGCATTATAAGAGATTTTTATTTGCATAACTTTTAATAAGCATGGCTGTTATTAACACTTGGTCTGCTCTTTAAGTATCTAGTTGTGGATAAGTGATTTTAGGGAGTTATTTTCAACTTTGACATCCGGATTTCGTCTGACAGTCCCAAGAATCCAACAATCGATCCGTATTCATTCCGATGGAATATCACAGGATCGTATGCTTCAAATGTACAGGTACAGTCACAGGTACAGTTATCAGTCACAAGTGTCGCGAGTGATTTACTCGTCAGTATGAAATATTACAGTTCACAGTGTATTTAATGCTTTGACAGTCGCTTATTGTCATCACGATCCGGGGGATCCAAGGTCATTCCGACCTGCTATGTTTACACTATCAAGTTGCAGTCTCTGGAAAGGGTTTTCTTCCACCGGGGATTATTGGGATCGTCTAAAGTCGAGACATACGTACTTCACTGCAGGTTATAATTAGGATTTGCCTTCATTCTTACTTGCATCACATTTTGACAGCTGTTGGAGGTGTGGTCTCCTTGGTATTCATTCCTGGTCACGAGAAGGTGTTGTTTATATCATCTGGATCCAGTTCCGTTTACTGAAAGTTGATACACTTTCCAGTTTCGAAGTTTGTTGTACAGTTAATTCGTTTTAACAGTCGAAGGTTCTCAATCGTGAGTGGGGTACAGTGATACAAGACTACTGCAAGACTACAACCACGAAAACGCAGGATGACGAGCAAGATATCCAGTACAGATTGTATGATGCAACATTTCGGTATAGCTTCTTATACCGTTGTCAAGCAAGAGTAAAGTAATACAGCACAGAACCGACTTATATACACGTAACAGGGATTGAGTAAGACAACATGGGGGAATACATCAAAGGGATTAACAACAACAATGGGACAGGTAATAATACAACAACAATGGGAGGAAGCCAAGGTTGAGGAGGCGGAACAAGATATACATAGCAGATGGGGTAGGTAATAATACAATAACAATGGGAGGAAGCCAAGGTTGAGGAGGCGGAACAAGATATACATAGCAGATGGGGTAGGTAATAATACAATAACAGTGGGAGGAAGCCAAGGTTGAGGAGGCGGAACAAGATATACATAGCAGATGGGATAGGTAATAATACAATAACAATGGGAGGAAGCCAAGGTTGAGGAGGCGGAACAAGATATACATAGCAGATGGGGTAGGTAATAATAACAATGAGGAGGCGGAACAATGGGATGGGAGGAAGCCAAGGTTGAGGAGGCGGAACAAGATATACATAGCAGATGGGGTAGGTAATAATACAATAACAGTGGGAGGAAGCCAAGGTTGAGGAGGCGGAACAAGATATACATAGCAGATGGGATAGGTAATAATACAATAACAATGGGAGGAAGCCAAGGTTGAGGAGGCGGAACAAAATATACATAGCAGATGGGATAAAATATACATAGCAGATGGGTAGGTAATGATACAATAACAATGGGAGGAAGCAGATGGAATTACTAACAATGATGGCTGGAGTGCTCTGTTCTGTTGTTTTTATCAGTTCATTGTAGGCGGATGGAAAGAGGTACCCTTGGTCTCTGTTGATTGAGGGCTTGTGTCGGCGGATTTGAACTGCTTCTGCCAGTTTGCTTTTTGTGAAGTCCTGGAGGTTTTTTGATAATATTTCCACATTGTCCCATTCAATGTTGTGATTATGACAGTTGATTATGTGTTCAGAGATAGCTGATTTACGGTCTGACTTCTTGGTTGATGCTAGGTGTTCTTTAATTCTGAGGTTTATGGGGCGGGAGGTTTCACCAACATAGGCCTAACCACAGTCACAGCTGATCTTGTAAACAACTTCTTTGGGTGTTTGTTGTTTGGAGGTGTTCCTGCAATTGGCTTGGAGTAGAGTTTTCATTGGGATGGAGCTGGTGAAATGGGTTTCGATGCCGGCTTGTTATCAATCAACTTCTAAAATGCCAATCAAACAGATCGAGTTGAATCAGATCTCTTCTTTGTCTCTTTAGTGGTGGAGTTTCCATTTTGCATCGGTAATGGTCTACAGTGTAGCAAGCTATTTATTGCTGACAGTGACAATTCAAGTTGACACCACTGACTCATTGGTAATTGATCTCACAAAATTAATTGAACCCTTTTCTCAGCCCATTCAAGAAAATTATGTCGGAATTTTAATGTACAGATGTCGGAATATTCAATGTTTAAATGATGCTACTAACATAGAAGAATGCTGCCGGGACCCAAAAATATGTCGAAATTCACAGATTGTCAGAAAATTCAGATGTCGGATTATACAGAGTCATTTTCTTTCAAATGCAATCAAATCAATCGAATCAAGTCGTGGATATGATCAATTCTGGGGTTGTTACATATTATTCTTGGATTGGGATTGGGATCAATTTCCTATTTGAATGCTTATAATGATGCATACTACTATATGAATAACAACTCTTTTATCATCTACATCTACACGTCGCTCTATGTAATACTCAAGAAGTTGTTATCCATAAAGTCGTATTCTTCATTTTGGACTCACCAACTTGTGGAATGTTACATTCATAAAACAAACAATTTGTCAAGCGTATGCAGTACACACTTTACATAATGTTCACTTGGTTTATACAGATGCGAGGCGACTCAATGAAAGAAGTTTGCATTCCCGACAGGTAGATATCGTCCTTATTGGTATACCTAACATACCCGTGAAGATTCGGGTTGTAATTGGTCTTAAGCAACAAATGCTTGTCGTGAGAAGCGGGATCGGGTGATCAGGCTCTCTGACTTGGTTGATGCGCGTATATCGATGCTCATAATGTCAGTCACCGGATTGCATGGTCCGAATTCGATTATTTACAGACCGCCGCCATATGTATAGACAAGCATACCATATGCCCATATCATGCAAGCATTAGCTTTAGTGCAACTAGCATCGTATTCATAGCATGTTGTGGGACATTCCATGTTCCGGGAAGTGAACTAGTGAAGGTCCGGGCTAGAATTGGTCCTCAACAACCCATACTTGTCGAGTCGACTAACGGGATCGGGTGGTCACACTCAATGACTTAATTGACACATGTCATTGAATCCCAGTTGTGTAGCTCGGTGCTCATGTTGTTGATCGCTGGATTGTCTTGTCCAGACTCCATTATTTACAGACCGCCGCCAAATAGCTAGAATATTTCTGTTAAACATCCAACCAACCAAATCCATGAAACAACTTGCTCTTCGTATCTATTTCAAGACGCAGACAGAAACGACGCCATTGGCTGGGGCATCAGTAGCTGCTGCTGACGGTGTCCTGGGTCCTGACACAAACAACCATTTGAACAAGACAAGCGTTTCTAACAGCGATGTGCCGTCAGCTGTACCTGCTGATGGCAGTGCGGAAAGTCCATACATGAGAACTCCTAAAAGAACAGTTATCAAACGGCTATCTGTGCCTTCTGACGATGGTATTTACCCAAGCAGTCGGCGACGTCTGAAAAAAAATAAAATGGGCAAAAAGTCAAAGTACCAGGTGTCTGAAGCTCCAGCTTCTGCTGCCAAGAACAGTAAGCTGGTCAGAACTGAATCTTTAGCTTCTGCGGACAGTGGCATAGGTAGTATGCGAAATCTTAGGAGTTTTCGAAAGATATGGAAGTCGGAAGGAGATGAGTGATAAGGTTTATAGAACCACTGCCAGATGAAACAAAATTTGGGGCAGACAAGCTTAGATGAGGCATCTATAGTTTCTGGCAACAGTGGCGTGGGTAGTGACACAATCAAACTGCATATCTTGAAGGTGGCACAATTGTGCTCTCTGTGAGCTACCTGTTATCCATTTCCTGTTGATGTTAACGTGCTGCTTATTTCCATTTCTCGTATATTTGTACCTGTTACTCCAACTTGATAAATGAAACACTGCTGTATGGCTACGGGGATAAGTCATGTTTCTATATATATATGAACCTTCTTGCGCCTAACGGGCAGCTGTTACTCCCCCATTCTGCAGTGACCATTGTTCAGTTAGCGTGTCGCTGAAATCTATTAAACAGATGAAAGAAGCCTATTCAAGATTTATTTATAATTACGATAATATTGATATGAATTCCTTTCGGCAAAATGTGGCTGATGTTAATTGGGATTTTCTTACACAAAATGATGATGTTGATGCCATTGCTTCAAAATTTGTTAATACATTAACAGACTTATGTAAATCAAATATTCCAAATAAAACTGTTGTGATTCGTCCAAATTATGCTCCGTGGATGAACGGATTTATAAGAAAACTTATGCGTAAGAAAAATAGAATTCATAGAAAGACTACACGTAGTAACTTGCCTAATGATTGGGATAAATTTAGAAAAAGTCGAAATAAGCTTATCTCAGAGATACGTAAAAGTAAGTCATTGTATGTTGAAAAGCTTGATAATGTTGTCAATACAGAACATGGTAGTAAATCTTGGTGGCGGATTGTTAAACATTATCTTAAGAAAACAGATAAAGCTAAGATATTTCCACACATTGAACACAATGGTGTTGTTTATGAAGATGATATTGAGAAAGCAAATATTTTTAATGACTACTTTGTGAGTATGGCAGCGGTTAACAGTTCTTCTGATGATGTTAATGTATAATCTGATATTAACGTGGAAAATTGTTTGATATTTCTTTGTCCTCTTCTCAATTTCCAGATATATGGAAATGTTCATCCGTTGTTCCAATTTATAAGAAAAATAATGTTCATGATTATACTAATTATCGACCGGTTTCACTTACTAGTTGTGTTTCAAAAGTATTTGAGAAGTGTGTTTTTAAATATGTGTCAATTTTTTTTCTAGATAATGGAACTATTACTTCATTACAGTCAGGTTTCACGACTGGTGATTCTACATCATACCAGCTCACTCATTTGTATGACTACATAGCTAAGGCGATGGATAGTGGCAAGGAGGTACGCGCTGTATTCTGCGATATAAGTAAAGCGTTTGATAGGGTTTGGCACAAGGGTCTTTTGCATAAGTTATGGGCTAGTGGAATTCGCGGATCTCTTTTATTATGGTTTGAAAGTTATCTAAGTAATAGAAAACAGTTTACAGTAATAAATGGGTATAAGTCAAATGTTAAATCAATTGAAGCTGGCGTGCCTCAGGGATCAGTCCTAGGACCTTCACTCTTTTTGGTTTATATCAATGATATTGTTGATGATATACAGAGTAATATTAAATTATTTGCCGATGATACATCCTTATCTGTGATAATTGATTACCCTATGGTATCTTCCAATATGTTAAACGATGATTTAGAAATAATAGCTAAATGGGCCCAGACATGGAAAGTAAACTTTAATCCCAATAAAACTGAATCTATCATTTTTTCTAGAAAGAAAACAGTAACATCAATGCCAGATCTTATAATGAATGATATACCGATAAAGTCTGTTGACACTCATAAACATCTGGTGCTGACTTTACAAAGTGATGGCCACTGGAATATACATATAGATGATATTATTTCTAAAGTCAGTCCTGTGATCAATTGTTTAAGAAGTCTGAAATACCGCCTTCAGAGGAAAACCCTCCAAACCCTGTATAGTTCATTTGTTTTACCACTTTTTGACTTTTGGGATTATATTTGGAATAACTGTACACAAACATAAGAGTTATTGTTAGAAAAACTTCACTTAGATGCTTTAAGAACCATATGTGGATCAGTTAGAGGAGTTAGCCATTCCAAAATCTACCATGAAACTGTTTTTTCATCATTAAGGGAACGTCGTAAAAATCACCAAATGTATGTATTTCATAAAATGTTCCATAATAAAACTCCAAAGTATTTATCAGATCTAATTCCAATAAACATATCCTTTGTATCCACATATGGATCTAGATCTAGTAATATGCTTCAAGTACCATTATGTCGTACGGAAACATATAAAAAATCTTTTTTACCCTCCTCTGTGATGGAGTGGAACAAGTTAGATAATGATATAAGAAACATAGATTCCGTTGCCATGTTCAAGAAACACTTTGATCGAACTGTCTCATCCAACGTACATCATGTCTTCAGAAACACTGGTAATAGATTTAATCAAATAATTCATTGTAAGTTAAGACTCGGCTGTAGTGACTTAAACGCACATAAATTTGACCGTTTTCTTCAAAATACGACTACTTGCACTTGTGGCCATCATTATGAAGATGCCATTCATTTTCTATTAATCTGTCCAAATTTTAATACAATTCGATCGAAGTGTTTCTATTACATAAATGGTTTTAATATTCAATCTGTACTCTGTGGAAGTTACTCATATTCTGACGAAATCAATGAAAATATTGTAAAATCTGTACATGACTATTTTACCTTAACAAAACGATTTTTTACCTAATTGATTAATTATACTACTGTCTTTTTCATTAAGTGTGTTACTCCTCAAATGGTGTGTTCTCTTGTCTGTAATGATGAATGTATATAAAATGTTTCCCATCGCATTGTATTCGGAGAGGTATTTTTATAGGCTTATAGCCTGTTTACCAATCCGTTCATTTAATAATGAATAAATATTATTTAAATCAAAAGCGGCGTAAAACCAAACTCACTCACTAAGTCAGTTGTCTTGATGTTTACCGTTTACACTTGTTACACTTGCAATAAAGTTTCGTCTCTTTAACTCATTGTTGTGATCTGTGTTGAACGAATTCGGTCCAGTGCATTATTCATGTGTATAGACTCCAGCGAATGTCATGTCATGATGCCTTAAGTAGAAGTGCCAGCTACATATGGTAACGATTCGGGATGTCATGCAAGCTTTTGGCACAAACAGCAACATGCGTGTGGTAATGACTAGTCAACAACCAAGTGGGTTTGTGTAGTAGTTCGTCCCTGTCACCCGTCACATAACTCTCTAGTAAGACTCCCGTTCATTATACAAGGTGTTTACTTCATGATCGTACTGGAAGGTGACGTGTAACGTGACATTGTCACGGTCCGATTAAGTAGCAGTCACGTATCCCAAACAAACGCAGTACCAACAGCCAGGTATAGAGACAACACACAACGTTGCCAATGCCAACCGGTGTATGTTGAACACATGCTTGTTTTATAATGGAAAGTAAGTCACGACTGAGAATAGCATGTATACTACTCACACTTTGCTAAGGATCACAAAAATTCACAACTTTACTTAAACGTAGATTCATAATTTGAAATTGTATCCATTTAAAACTGGATAAACAATAATATGGTAAACCCTCTTCAGGCAAACAGCCACTGAATCTAACCTTATGCACTTGATGCATGAGTAGCCATAAAAATGGTTTTCATGGCACCAATCAACCATTTTGCAAATCATGGAACGAGTCACTGACAAGTACACCTGGCAATAGCAGGCATGGGATCTGAACTGAAACCTAGGATACATACTAACAATAAGCGTAGATATTTAAATCCAATTTGACCCACATCATAGTTTTCTGTTGAATCCATGATTTGATCCTTAGCAAAGTATGAATAGTATATTTATTCAAATTACTCAGAACCCCTGTGTTTAATCTTACTCATCACTCAGCTTATATTACCGCTTGTCAGACTAGCTCAACTTAGGTGAGAGACGTTAACGTTACCAAGAAGGCGCGGATATATGCATACGTGACTCAATGAACGCTATCGATTTATCAATGCACCACTGACAGCATAATGGGAGCACATTGTTGAGTGTTCTACAGCTAGCTGTGTAAACGGTTATATATAGGTTGTGACAGAGCATGTGCAACATAAGCTGTACAGCAACGCTTTGCCAGTGTTATATACCCTCGACATGACGGGGTCGGTGGGGTAGCCCAGTGGTTAAAGCGTTCGCTCGTCACGCTGAAGACACCGGTTGATTACCCACATGGGTACAATGTGTGAAGCCCATTTGTGGTGTTCCACCGCCGTGATGTTGCTGGCATATTGCTAAAAGCCGCGTAAAACTAAACTCACTCACTCACTGGACATGACGTTTTTGAAAAGCACTTAGAAGTTTGACAATCATGAATACATGACACGTTTTTGTAGATAACAATTTCTTATTCCTTATCAGAAAAAAAATTCTCCTTCATGAGGTGAACGGGATCGGTTGGTCAGCTTGCTTGAAACGTCGTGATAAAGAATAAAAAAAAGTTTATTTTTGAAAATGTGTCATGCGTTTTCTCTATGTATGTTGTCCTTATCGTTCTATGTATTACATTACCCGTGAAGATCCGGGTTAGAATTGACCTTCAGTAACCCATGCTTGTCGTAAGAGGCGACTGACGGGATCGAGTGATCAGGATCGCTTACTTGGTTGACACAACCCAGTTGTGTAGATCGATGTTCAGGCTGTTCATCTCTGGATTGTCTGGTCCACACTCGATTATTTACAGACCGCCGCTATATTGCTGGAATATTGCTGAGTGCGGCGTAAAACAACAACCAAACCAAAACATATTACATACTAAGGACGAGATTCGTAATTATGTATGGGCGGTGGTTGAAGCTCGTCACACCGAAAGCCCGGGTTCCATTCCGCACACAGGTACTCTATATGGAGAACATTTGTGGTGTCCCCCCGTCGTGATATTGCTGGAGTAAAAGCGGCTTAAAACCATATTCACTCACCCACTCATAATGATATGATGAAATAAGGGGAAAAGGTTTTCA